ATATAGACTAAGCGCGGGAACCCGACTTGTGGTCCGAGCCGTCGCCTGTCATGTCGATGACACATGATTCGGTCTGACCGAACACCGGAACTGACATGACTACGTAACATGTTTCATAAAGTATGGCTATACATAGTTCCCTGTTAGCTGCCAGTGACCTGTGCATCCGGAATCTATGATCGCTTGACGACGTATGTATCTGTACAGCCTACAACGATAGGCCGGGAAGGCGATACTTGCGGGGTTCTTGTTTCGCCTAGGCATTCACACAAGCCATTTGTCGAGCTACACTCTCCACCATGGACACCAGCAACCTTCTCAACAGCGAATTCGAACCAACAAAAACTCGAACCGTCCTACTTCTCTGCGACGAGCTCGTTCAACCATAAATTGACCTGAAACTAGCGTGCCGGGCTCGTCCAAACACGATGATTACACTCTGTGAGTCGTCGGAGGGGTTGAGGTAAGGGGTAGACGTGCAGGAAGCAGCCTTGTGTCCGAGAACTGTGGCTTTGTGCAGTAGCGTAACGATGTCGGGCCCTATGCTCTACATAGCCGCTCGGCGCTCAAGGTTCTGAATTCACAGCCAGTGCCATCATAAGTGCCGTGCCGTACCTCATTGAGCCGGCGCTGTCGGGCCTCACCAAGTCAACTGTAGTACTAGTGCAACGGCGCCCGCTGACATATCTTCGTTAGCAAGCTCTTGTCCAGAGAGACATGTAAGAATGACTGGTGAATACAGAGTATGCCTAACGCGAGTTCAATCCTCTTCGCGAAGCACATTGGACAGGTGATTTGCTCCTCCGCGCTGCGGCGATAGGACTCGCCCCGCCGTTTGGAACGCGGCGAGAGTTCACAGACGTGCCAGCTCGAATCCTGCGTTGGGAATCTCTGATGACCAGACATTGGAGAGTACTCCCAACCACCACATTCGAGCCTCTGTGAGCGTGGAGTCTTCGAATGATGCATGGGTTCGACTGACTCGGTCTACTCTGCCCTGTACCCGTCGCTGTTCACCAAAAAATTATATAGACAGGATCGCGCAGGACGTACGAGAGGGCCTGCGGAGTGGTAGGAACGGACGGGAGCGCGTAGACGGTGCGGGCGGCGTCGCAAGTCCGAGCGCTCTGGCACTGTGGAGCGATCATCTCTGCAGAGAACCCGCCGGGAATACTCTCTATTGCAAAGACCAATCTGTCAAGTTTCGCCAGGTCATCGAGAAGCGCCAGCCTATCCGATGGACCCCAAGTCGCCTCACCGGAAAGGCTGTACGTCCTGGTGACTGGGATGTGCGAAGCCCCGTGGCCAACACACGTAGCTCCAGGCGCAAACTTTCTGGCCTATCGGATCCGATCGATACACGTGCCGAGAGCACCGAGGGCGTAATGATACGCCGGCGCACCACCTGGGGCAGGACCTTACGGAACGTCTCGTATCTATTCACGAGGCCGTTCCGAACGGGGGCCTGCCCGTTCCGAACGTCGACCTTTTCCGAACGGGCCTCAGGGCAAGGCACCTTTCGGCCGGCCATTATCGCCGAAGGCGATTGACACCGAAGCACACGTGCACAGAGTGATTGTAAAAAAGCCTTTCATTGCAGTCTATAGTACCGACAAAGTAGCATACATGGAAAGACGTAAACTACGAGAACGAACGAAAAAGTGATGTGCAGGCACAAGCAATGGCGGCGCGAAGCGCCGGCAACGCGCAAGAACGTCGCGAAGCGACGTCGAGCGTGCGAGAGCGTATGCGGTGGCAGCTCAGCGGCCCGTATAAGCTAGCGCTGGCGGCGCTTCGCGCCGCCAGCGCGGCCACACTGCTCAGCATCGCGCGCAAAACGCGAGCGGACGGCGCGAAGCGACGTCAAGCGTGCGAGTACGTGCGCAGCGGCAGCGCAAAGCGCTGCATGGCGTGAGCCGTCCTCACCGCCAGCCGTGTTGCTTCGTGGTGTTGCCATCACGAGGCAAGAGCGCGGAGCGCGACCTAGGGGTTGCGAGCATAAGCCCTGCCCACTGTACAATACGTATCGTCAGTCGAGCGTCGTTGGAAAAATACGTGACACGTACCGCAAGTGTCAAAACAGAGCCGAGCGTTGACGACGTCACCGGGCGGCTGCAGTCCTCGCGCGTATGTCCTGACGCTCGTGTGAGGAAGGACTGCGTGGACTACTGCGAGCGTGTGACGTACGTGGTATACGTGCTTACGAGGGCAGTAAGCATAGGCGCGAGCCTTGCGCGACGAAAATAGCCTAAGCGGGATGTATTAGCAAGAGTTGCTCGTCAATAACGCGTACGACGTACCTTACGCGCTTGTCGCGCTACGCGGCCAGTGGGCGGCGCATCCGCTGGTGCCCGTCGCAAGGAAGTAGAGTAGCTGTAGGTGTAATTAGCGACGGTACGTAGAGAAAAATATCACGACGCACCTGGAGCCGCGGAGGAACGCGAAAGCGCCCAGCTACCGGGCAACCAACCGCACCAAAAAGCCAGGCGTGAGTCCGTGGCTTGCGCTCACCAGCTCATAGACTCGTGGATAGCGGACGAGACAGGGAGGGGCAGAGCGAGAGCGAGGAAGGGGCGCGGTGATGGGGGGAGGACGAAACACACAAGTCGCAAACGCGCTGACGCGTCGGATCGGGAACGGTCGGAACTGGCGGGCCAATCGGCATTTGCCGAAGACCCCGGACGCGCGGATGGCGCGACTTTGCGACTTGCGTTTGTTTTCCTTCGCCCACGACTGTCCTCTGCCCTCCCCCCGCCGCCGTCGTCTACCGCGTCGCGCTCGTCCTCACACCCTCCGCTCTCCGTTCTCTCGTGTCCCTCTCACTCACGTTGCGCTCGCCTCGCTGGGCTTCACTGGACAGTGCCCCCGCTTCGTGCTCTCGTTGTGAGGCTCCCGTATGCGGTTGGCCAGCCGTCTCGCGCGCCAACGGCGCTTGAGTCCTGCTGTGACTCGTGCACGGACGTGTTGAAGGTGCGTTGTCTTATTATTATAATGCATACCCCTCACTAATTGGACACCAGGATCCCGTGCCTCTGGTCTCCATCCCCTTATACGGTTTCGTACTCTCGTGCCGCCCTCGCGCGCGTTCTTGGGTATTAGTAAACCCCTCCGCTTCCCCGCTCGCACTCTCTCTGTCTTTATCATATCCCCCTGTCCCATATCCTATCCCCCTGCTCCGCCTGCCATTTTGTCGCCCCGTCTGGACTCGCAATGTATATTTTGTCATCTGGTATACTATGTAGTATGTAGGGACTCAATATATGAAATTTTCTGTTGTAAACCTCTCCGTGCCTGCGCTCGGCGAGCACGGATCCCCTGGCGATGTTCGGAAGCCGACGGGCGACCCTGGGGCATCGTTGCAATGAATAAATTTATTTGTCGGGGACTGCCGAGGGGCCGTTTCGAACAAGAGGCCGTTCGGAACGGACATGTGTATACATACACGGACGTTCGGAACGTTGCACCCCTACGACTGAATATTCCGCAGTACGAACAACACCGCGAGATACGCGCATGCCTCTCAGAAATCGAACACCGCTAAGGCGCCGAAACATTATGTGCGGAATCCAGGTCCCCGCGATCGGCTTGTCGCAGCCGCTGGACCTGGACAGGCTAGGCCTCCCAACACCAACATTCCGTGGGAGCCGTCCTTGCGGGGTAGCGCAGCCCAAGATCTCTGGAGAAACACCGGTCACAAATCTACCAGATATGACGAGTCTGGCGCACAGCGGGCATCTTCGATTGAAACCACCGCCGGCAATTCAAGCTTCCCTCAGTCGAGGACGAGTGTACCATCGGTTGACTTTTCAGGCATGCTGGACGACATGGACGGGAGCACCCGTGTCGATGCACTCGGGGTGCCAGTAACCAGCGAGTACGAGGCCAGTAACCCCGCCGGTGACAGGACCAGCCAGGGCAAGGTCAGTGGTTCAGCTTAGTCTTTCGGTGCTTCACACATTGAGATGTTTTGCAAAAGACCCAGGTTGATTATCTGACTCAATTCAAGGAACGCAATCTGGGACCAAAGTATGCGCACCTCGTTATCACCTTCCGCCATGCTCCACCCCCCGGCCTCAGGTGCCATCGCTGTCAAAAGGCTGATGTAGCGCGGTGGCGTTGTGCCCACTGCATGGTGAAAAGGGACTTCTGCGGCCCATGTCTTCGCGACACTCACTGGCAGAATCCGTTCCACACAGTAGGCTACTGGACCGGTCGGCACTATCGTAGGGCTTGGTTGCGAGACGCCGGCCTGGCGATTGAACTATGTCCTAACGCCGCGCATGGGGAAAGCTGTCCCACACGCCCGCGTCCTAGTATAGACTTTGCCGCCCTGGACGGAGCTGCGCCACCCTCGTACGGCAGCTTCACCGTCGAATCAAGCCCTCCTACAACCGATGACGGCGGCGATTGCCCTCTCACTTCTGTTCTAAACCCCGACGCCACAGTCCATCTGCCTCCGGCGTTTGGCGATCTAGATGAGGGTGAAACTGAAGACCTTGAGCTCCCTGGCGCAGCATCGAATGATGGAGAATTCCAGCCCATTGGCGATGACGACGGTTATGTGGCAGGGACAGATGGGGAAGGGATCCCTGAACCTGACATTGCAGGAGTCGCTCGAGAGAGGGGTCGATCGTCAATTCCTACGAAGGATATCTACGGTTATAGGACGTTGGTGATCGTACACACCGATGGCATCCACGGCATAGGCGTTGGCTTCTGCCGCTGTCAGGGATCGCCTTCTGACAACGAGCAATTGATTAAGTATGGCGGGCTTTATCCCGTCACTCCAGATGTCCCGTCGACAGCCTTCACCTTACAGTTTCTGGAATACCGCCATATAGACGATGTCGTCTGTAAGACCACCCCGCAAGCGCATATGCGGAAGATTCGGCGAGCTACAGAGCCAGAGGACTTTCGTCTTGCTCCGGTGGGTCTTTGTGCAATGTTCAGAGCGCAAGCCCACTAATATGCCTTCAAGAATCGTTACCCGGAACTGTTACTTGTTGATCGCCAGTTCTCGGCGATTAAGAATCTCATTGACTTCGGTTTCGCGTCGCAACCTCTGGCCAGCTGGAAGGCTCCACCGGCTGGCGGCCTTGTATGGAAATGCGTGGTATGCCCCCGCAAAACGCCCGACTTCAGTAACATCCCGAAGGCCTGGGAATCCAATCCCCAGGAATGGCGCAAGTTCATTTCCTTGTGCTACGACGGCAACTTCAGTGGCGACCATACGATATCGCGCAATCCTGGGAACAATGTGCCGCTATATCCGGGAACCGGTATGTTCGAGCATCCCGACATAGTTCGCGCGCATTCAGCAAAAGCCGTGGACGACAAGGATCTGCGGAGAATCTATCCCGATCTAGTTTGTGGGGTTGCTCTGGAACAGTGGGATTAGTGCGCTTATGGAGTTTCTGCACAGGACCAACTTAGCAGGACCTGCCATGACCATCGAGCAGCATCGAGCGTCGGTAAAGCAAGGAGCAAGGTGGTGGATATAAAGGGCATCGGCTCATGGGCCTGCTCCCGCCATGGCAACTTTTGTGCCTGCGGCACAAATAATTTCAAGTTGGGGGAAAGGTACAGGCGAAACCGCCCCGTTGACTTTTGATGACTTACGCTGACTTAATCATGTAGCCAAGACCCCGTCGATAAAAGCTTAGACTCGGCGTTTCAGCAGACGATTACCACGCATATCACTCGAATCCAGCTCCTGTACGACATCTGGTGTCGTTATGGCGTGCATCTCAAGAAGCGATTCAAGCATAGTGGCCTCAATTGGCCGGAGTTTCGCGAGGTACTGCAGGGCGTCGGCGTTTGGCATCTTTACGGGCATGTGCCTGAATGCCATCGCCGCTTTTCGCCATCATACAGTCCTCGCTCTGGGATTGTTGACGGGGAGATTCTGGAAACTTTGTGGTCCCTACTGAATGCAGTCCTTCAGTCCTGTCGCGGAATGTCCCTCGCGGCTAGGGAGGAGAAGATCAACATCCATATGAACGATATCAACTATCGCAAGATCGTGGGCATGGGTGAGTGGTAACAGGACCATCGGTGGCCATGTCTGACCAAACGCCACAGTGGGCACCCTGGTGCGGAAGTACCGAAAATATAGCGCCGAGCTTTCAATTCGTCATCGGCATCTGGCACGATTGGAGCTATCATGCGATCCGGACGATATACAGCGGTGGGAGTTAGCCCGAAAAGAGCTGGAAGAGAAACGGGTTAAGGATCCCTACTACGCCGACACCTTCTGGGACTCACCCGCTATGCCTTCCGGTACTATCCTCATTTTTCCCAGCTTTGATGTCCTGACGCTGGCAAAACAGTCCCGAGCAAAATCACTACCGAAGTCCATCTCCTGGAAGATGACGAGGGTGGGCTGGTGAAGGCCATGATCGATTCGCTGAGGCTCGAGGAAAATGGGTGAGAACACATTGCCACCCTCGATCGAAGCACGCTTCACTGAATCTCCGGTTAGCCTTCGTATGCAAGCGCAGGGCAAGGCTTGGGGTACCTCTCTCTCGGATCGACGGACCGCTGCGATAGCCCGCACTCGTTTCAACAACCGCCGAATCAACGCCAATAAGCGTCTTAACCAGTTGCTCGGGACGCATGATGCAGACGAAGCTGAGCTTCTTTCACCTCGACTCCCAAAGCTCCTGGACGAGGACGAATGGGGCGAAGACACCGATCCGCAGCATGGTTACGATCTTCGGGTTCAGGCTGAGTTCAAGCCTGTGTATCTACCTTCCGCAAGAGATCAAACGCAGCTCACGAGGGAGAATCTAAGCAACGTTGAGCGACACGCCCTGGATATCGAGATTGCTCTGCGACTTGGAGATATGGTCGATCGACTTCAGGAAATAAGGGAAGGGTTGTGCGATCAAGCCCAATCCTATCGCCTGGAAATACGGAAGAAGAAGGGGAAAGGGAAGGCGAACTACCGAGACCGCACAAACGCTTGGCTCCACGTCCGCGCGCAAACAAAAGATGTCAGGGTTCATGCAGCCATCTACAATCACCACGTCCGTCGGTTGCACAGGTGTTTCTGGGACACCGGTGGAGAGGCATTGGCACGCTACAAGACCTTGGAATCACAGTTCAAGCTAATACGCCCAGAAGACATTCGGTGTTCGACTGCAACGTACGACATGTACAACGACCAACGCACTCGTGGAGAGTTCAAACTTCCGTGGTTTTGGCGAATGGAAGCCAGTGGAGATATACCCGAGTTGGAGGCAGTCACCGGTGATCAGTCTATGGACGATGACACCTTCATAGGGAGCTGTAAGTCGTCAAATCCGTCTATTCACATTCTGTGAAGTAACTGAAGGCTCGTTGAAGTTTTCCGCACGCGGTGGATCAACGCGAGATGCGCGGTGGTGCGATGTGAAGAGGAACAGTTCATGCTGCAGGGGGAAATGCAGACATGTTACCTCGGGTACATGTCCTTGGCCTATTCTTGGAGAAGGCGCTGGAGGCTCTTACCCTCTGAGGAAGAGGACACCGAGCATGAATATGCTGGCCACCGCGCACATGCACTGGAGAACATGCATGCGTGGTTGGATCACGGGGCGCATGCCCAGGCGGCTTTCAATGCCGAAGTCAGAGACATCATTTTCGATGGACTTTGACAAGCTACGTTGTAGAGTACATCACTTTGTTCATAGGGAAAAGAATCCTTGCGAAAGCTTCTACAAATTCATTCGCGCCGCCTAGACGCATCTGGGACTCAGGCGAATCTTGTGAGCGCCGGATGCAAGATGGCCTGGTGAATTGAAAGTTTCTTCCCAGCTATAGGGTGCCAGCCACTGCCGCAGCCTATCGAAAGCCACTTGCAGATGGATCTCTTCCAGCACTGGACAGAGGTATACGCCGCCGGTGCCCGGAACGTTCAGGCTTAAAGCCAGGGCTTGTAGATGCTCGGACGCAAAGCGCCCCTCCATGTTCTGCTTGAACCGCGCGTCCGCGGGGAGTGCGGGGCTATCAAAATGCAGTGCCCTAAGAGATCTGAATCTCTCTAGGATGTGCTCATAACCCAGAGACCGATCTGGAAGCCAGCTGTCCTTGGCGAAGACCAGCTCGTGCACGCCTGTTGTCGAAGGCCCAGGGACCGCGGCGAGTACGTATCGGAGGGTGTCGTACAACGCCTTCGGATATTGACTATTAAAGTCCCGCGCCCGTTTTCGCTCAAAGAACTGCCCGTCTCTGAAGGTGAGGGATCGCCTGGCCGCGGTCTTGCCCTCTAGGTCCCCACTCCTTTCCCAATCGCGAGCCACCGGGTCCTCCAAGACCGGTCTGAGCTCGTCTACTGACTCGGCGAAAGTCATGCTGACCAGCTCTGGGAACCGCGCCGCCGCCGGCTCGCGTGACTTCGTGGACGGATCGATGCGCACATCTAGTCCCATCACCAAGGTCGACCGCCACCACAGGGCTTTTGCTGGATCGCCAGCGTCGAAGGCATACGTTGGGGCGGCGGGACTATGGATGCTGGCGGTCCGGTGCGGCTGCGCCAGACTTCGGGCAAAGTTGGTAGGCCACTTAGAATTGTTGTTGAAGTACCCTACAGGCGCATGCCTCGATGGCCAAAAAGGTACTTCATATACTCCTTCATGCTTCTCAGTGAAACATGCTCTCCAGGAATCGACCGGCTCGAGATGGAGATCAAGCGAGTAGGGCAACACCATCCAACCTAGTAGGATGGCCCCGAACGTGGGATGCGTGCAAAGCCTGAAGTAGCGAAGCCTTGGGAACGTCAGGTTGCCCTGTATCTCCGCGACAAAGCCGGCCGCAATGTCAATCGTCAAGAACTCCAGTGTGCTGGCACAGGCTGAAAGAGCGACTGACAGTGCTGTGCCGAAAACTACGTCGACGTCGGGACCTTGGTGAACAGACAGTGAAGTCATAACGCCTGAGAAAAAGATGATATTGCCGCCAGATTCGCGACAGGTAAGCAACCCGACCATATGAATAGCCACCATACGTCGGCGTGGACCATCCTCAACGTGAAGGGGGTCTGCGTCCAGAGCCTCGATGTCGATATGACGCAGACGGCTGTCTGCATGCGATCTGGTGTCGCGCACGAATTGCTGTAGCTCGGACGCCAGGGTCCCATCGCCGGACCAGGGCAGTCTAAGCTTGACGCGCTCGAGACTGCAGTAGAAAGAGCGGAGGCTGCGCAGGATGCACGTGCAGACATCGACCGCCACTAGGCTGCGGGTACCATACTCCAAGGCAGTCCGTCCATTTGAGATGCTGCGGGTCTCTCCAGAGCGCTTGGCGATCGATGGGTAGAGGGTATTGTCCAGTCGCCAGATCGCCGAGTTCTCCTCCAGCAGTATGCCGCGGAGCCATCTGCACACCTGAGAAGCGCTGTGGGCGGGGGAAGGCAACCGAAGAGGAAGACCAGATGACCGTATGCAGGTAGGCCTGCTGAAATCCCATGTCACGCCCCTGCAGCATGGGGGTACGGCGGACGACGTAGACGGAGGTCGCGGTACCTCGTATCGCTTCACACCAGCGTATGGTGCTTGCGCGGAGAATTGCTCCTTGTGCCAAGCTGTCTGGGCGAACAAGATAATCGATACGACTAGCTCAGCCGGCAAGTCCGTAAACCTGAACGAGGGAGCGGGAGGTTCAGACATGGAAGTGGGGGGAAAGATCGAGATGCGATGATCGAGAGGCGATGCGGCATAACGGTCTGTAGATCAAAGTTCATCTAGAGCATTGATCATTAGTTCTTCCGATTTAGAAGCAAAATTGATTTCGTTTCCGCGTCGAGGGGGACAGTTGGCATTGGGATTCGAACCCCGCGACTGGCGAGAAGGCAGGGACGTCATGACCGTTAGCCCAGCGAAGCGTGTAGTTGAATAGCAGATGGCAAACATCAACGCAGCGGGCGCCTGGTGATCTCGGTACATTGCAGATTCCCCATTGCCAGTTCACTGAGCACCCGCGATCCTGTACTGTGATTGCCAGACATCCCACCACCTCAGACGCAGATCCGTCAGGTTTGGCGCTTCATCTACACCTCCGTAGCGGATCACTATGTCTGAGCTGGTCTCGGCGCTTTGGTCTAACCCTCTTGCGGACAGGATGAGCATTTTTCACCGAAGCTTACTCCGGGCACTCAAGATTCAAGAGGCAGGGGTTGCATAAAGTACTTGGTGCAGAGCTGTAAATGCTGTAGATACTAAGCACAATTGTCACTCCACTGAGATTAACCGAATCTTCCGAGCACCCGTGGCAAGACGGGCTGGTGAGTTCAAAATCTCATCCCAGCTACTTGGTGCCACCCAGCTCAGCACCCTGCCTGAAGCTACTCGCACACAGATGTCTTCCAGTACCGGACAGAGATACGCGCCGCCGGTGCCTGGAACATTCAGGCTCAGAGCCAGTGCATCGAGATGCTCGAACGCCAAGCACCCCTCCATGTTCTGCTTGAAGCGCGGGTTGGCAGTAATGGAAGGACTGTCAAAGTATATGACCTTAAGAGCTGTGAATCTCCCTAGGATGTGTTGGTATCCTAGAGAGCGATCCGGTAGCCAGCTGTCCTTCGCGAAGACAAACTCCTTCACTCGGCGCTCAGACGCGGAAGCCCATGCGTCGGGCATAAGGCTCAGGATATATTGAATGGTGTCGTATAGAGCCTTCGGATACTGGGCATTAAAGTCCCGCTCACGGTCTTGCCCGGACACTTGCTTGTCTCTATAAGTGAGGGATCGCCGTGCGGCGAGCTTGTCACCGAGCGCCATACTGCCTGCGGCATCGCGACCCACCGGGTCCTGCAGCACCGGCCTCAGTTCGTGCGCAGACTCCGCCAGACTGACGCTGACACGCTCAGGGAAGCGTGCGGCCGCAGGCTCGGAGGGCTTGGTGTTTCGATCGATGCGTATGTCCAGACCCATCACCCTCGTTGAGCGCCGCCAAAGCGGTTCGGCTGGATCACCAGCGATCGGCGGGTGATCTACGGGGTTGAAGGAATGCGTCGTCCGGGTGCGATGGGGTTGAGCCAGATCTTGAGCATATCTGTGCGGTCGCCTCCAGGGAAGATCGTTTGGGGCATATTGCGAAGGCCAGAAGGGCACTTCGTATATTCCCGGGTGCTTTGCAGTAAAGCACTCTCTCCAGGACTCGACCTGCTCGAGATGCAGGTCGAGAGCGTACGGTAGAACGAGCCTGCCGAGCAGGAGGGCCCCAAACAAGGGATCCGTGCAAAGCCGGAAGTAGCGCAGTCGAAGAAATGTGATGGTCCCATCGATGTCCGCGACAAACCCATCGGCAATGTCGATCGTCAGATACTCGAGGGTGGCGGCGCACGCTAAGAGGCCGATGGATAGCGACGATCCAAACGACACGGCGGTGTCAAGGCTTTGATGGAGATACAGGGAGGTCAGAGTCGGTGAGTAGTAAAATTTGTCGCCTCGATAAAACCGGCTATTAAGCAGGTTTACGCTCTCCAAAGCCGTCATGAACAGACGTTCACCATCCGGAAAGTGAAGCGGATCTGGGTCTAGAGCTTCAAGGTCGAAGCTACGCAGAGGACTGTTCTCGCGACCCGCGATGTCGCGAAGGAACTGTTGTAACTCTGACGGGAGGCTTGGGTTGCCGGACCACGGCAGCCGAAGTTTGACCCTCTCGAGACTGGAGTAGAAGGAACGGAGGCCGCGAAGAAGACACGCGCAGACGTCCAACGCTATGAGGTTGCGCGATCCGTACTCTATGAAGGTCCGCCCACGAGAGGTGGTACGTTGTTCTCCAGAGCGGCGTGCAATCTCTGGGTACAAGGTGTTGTCCAATCGCCAGATGTGAAACTGATCACCCTCAAGAAGGACGCCGCGTAGCCTTTTCGATACCAGCGAAGCGCTATGGGCAGGAGAAGGCAGGTGGGTCGGAAGGGCTCTTCCGGGGTCTGAGCGTATGCAAGTCGGCCGACTGAAATCCGATCGTGCGCCATTGCAGCATGCAAGGACGTTGGATGGCGCAGACCCAGGGGGCGCTGCCTCGTGACGGTTGACCTCCGCGTATGGAGCATGTACGGCAAAGTGGTCGTTATGCCAAGCTATCTGAGCATAGTAGATGATCAGCGAGATGAGCTCAGCTGGTAACTTGTCGAATCTTAGAAGGGGCAGAGCAAGTGCAGACATCGGAGGTGAGTGGAAAGTCCAAGATGCAGTAGATTCTTCACATCATAGTCTACCTAGCGAACCAATTACGTTCCCACACGGCACCGGTGATACCGAGGATTGTGGGAGGCTCAGGTGTTGAACCGGAGAAGCATGATGGCCGCGGAAACAGCCGATCAACCAGACATCTGAGCAATGTGAGCTGAAAAGGTGCAGACCATAGAGGCCCGACGTCCACCGGCAGCTTCTGCTGCGACAGGCCGGTGTTTGAATCGCCTCGGTGTCTAAAACAGAGCACGGCAATCGGATGCGGCGCAACATTCACCATCCCCTAGATTGACGTCTGGTAAAGCGACCATCACCGGGTTAAGCGTTGGCAATCTGTCGCGGTGTTCTCGGGTTAGATCCCTGGTGTGCCCGTTCCACAAATCTATCATTGCCATGAGCTGGAACGGACTGCTTCCCTAGTCACTCGTCGCGGTGCTGGCATAAAAATTCGAAGGTAAGCGCAACGTGGGCCAGCAGGCGAATCGAACCCATCTGGTCTCCACGATCTTTCTAATGTACGGAACCGATACACTAAGAAGCCCTCTCTGAACTCTACCATGACGGTATGGCTGGACGGTGTATTTGGGGCTGCAGCCCTCGGGGATCTCGCTGCGCCGATGCGATACCATGAAATGTATTTAGAAAGCGCCGCGGCGCTTAACGCTTTGCACCATCAGTGGTGAACACCGCGTACAAGCTTTACACATTCCCCAGTCGGATTTCGCCCAATGATCTATCTTTGATTTGATGCTCTCCTTATCACCCTGGGGTTGTGAGCTTCGCCAGATATTGCCTGAAGTAGTGTCGAACTAGATTTTGTCCTGCGTGCTTTACGCACTAACTAGCGATGTGAGCGGTGGGAGCGGTGCGTGTTGAGAGCAGTGAACTTCCTTTAAGTGAACGGTCTTTCCCTAAATTGTGACTTACTGGAGGATGACCAGTCGTGACTGGCCAAACCCCTCATGCATTCATTGGTGATGGGTCACCAGCCGTGTGTTAGGAAGGCAAGGTATCGGATCGTCCCGCTTGTGGGCTCTAACCGACCTACGCTGCGCCTGCGAAGTAGACGGCCAGATGATGTGAACCGGCCTCAAGTTTGTCCGGACAACATCTTGTCTCACAACCATGACTATCGTCGACGACCCAGCTCAGAAAACTTTCATCTTGACCGACTTGGCGCCCGAGCTTCTTCTTGAGATCACCCTCTGGGCTCAGCATCTATGGCACACGGAGATATTTGCCGCACAAGCACCCTATAATGGACTCCAACGCCACGTCGCCTCGCGGCCGTTGCAGATACATGTGCTCCGATCGTACTTGCCGCACTGTTGCAATGGGACCGATGAGGCTCATCGTGGCCCTCAGTGCTTGACATCAACGAAGACCATACCGCTCTCGCTGCGGTCGCCTGCGCATTGCCTATCTCAGGTTGCGAGGAGCTTGCGAGCATTGCTGATGGACGGCAACGTTGAGATATGGAACCTCGACAACACTCTTTTCCCTCACATCGCTGAACGTTCAGGCATCGTACGGGGCATGCAGGATAATGCACCCGTCATTCAGTACGGCAGTCGCAACTTGATCGCCGTCAACGTCTGCTCCTGCCTGATCCCAGCTATCGCGTCGTTTTACTCCAGTCTGGAGAACGTGAAGCTCGCGTTGCCTTGGCCAGGCCATGAGGCCCATCCCTGGAGTGCAGACGTTCACGTTGGCACACAGTCGTTCTGGTACACCAATGCCGGCCCGGTCGGTAGCCCTCTACGGTATATCGACCTGGAGATCTATTCACCAGATCCTGCCGCAGCCAAGTTCACTCGCGAGGTCCTGGTAGTGGAGAGCCATGGGCTCCTCGTCAGTCGCTTCGCAAACTGCGAGGTGATCTATTACTCTCACTGCCTGACGTCTTTGCACGTCTACTTCTCCGAGGCGTGGGAGATACAGTTCGCCGAGAGCTTGCTCACCGCGTTGCGTGCTTGCATGGGGACTCTTCAATATCTGACGATAGACGTTGCACACGCGTATTTTGAGCTGGACGGTGTGAACCATATTGTTCTGCTGCCAGCCTTGCGTTATTTGCGCCTCCACGCCCCGCAATACTCTGGTGGGACACTTCTGCGGTATCTTGCCCTTCCAATGGAACTCGACATTCACCTCGAACCCCTTGTTGATTGGACAAAGCGAGCCAGCTTCATAGAAGTGACTGAACCTCCTTTTGAGGTTCCTTTCTTGGCCTTCGATGCAGAGGACCAGGAAGACTGCGCCTCGCTGGCTCGTTACGTTGCCAGTCTCGCCGCGCCTCTCCTTACACGCTGCTTCTTCACTTCGCATTATGACCCTTCGATCTTCGTTGTACAACCGATCTGGCGATCTTTCACTGCCATGGGCCTGAGGATCCAGCTTGATCCCAGCATGACCGCGAAACAGCATGTGGCGTCTCGCTTTCCCCAGTCAATCACGGTGGCGCTTGCCGCCAATGACGAGGCGCTCAATACGCTACTGGAGGACCCAGCTGGCTACGCTTGGAAGGACAGTCCTGCTTTGCAGGGCAAACGCACCGCCAGACGATCTCTGACTGTCCGAGACGGCGATTGCGTAGAGTTCTACAGCCAGCGCACTGCGGACCAGACTCGCACCATGCCCATCCCGCTGTACGACAGCATACGGTGGGTTATAGGTCAAATTCAGCAGGAGAAGCGCGACACAGTTGGTGTACAGGAGCTATCATTTGCCCGGGAGTCTTGGCTACCCGATCGCTCCCTGGGATATCAGTATATCCTTGGTGATTTGCAGGCGGTGAAGTCCATACGATTCACCGGCCACTTCCTCTCCCCAGCTATCCCGTTCCTGCAGAACATGCAGGGCTGTGTAAGCCAGGAGCACATCACTGCGCTTGCACTGTATCTCAACACCCCCCAGGAGGGTTACAACTTCCCCTGTTTGTGTCTGGAGATTATATGGCTCCCGACTGGCGTTTGGTCTCCAAATCCCGAGGAGTTCAATGAAGAGGAGCTTCGTGAGCTTTACAACAGCCCCGAACGCCGCCGCTCTGGGGCGCCTCAGATCCGCATAGATTACCAGTAAGGGAGCGGGGTGTGTGGGACTGGAGTGAGTCAGCCACGGGTTCGGAGTAACAGATCAGAGACGAGGACGGTCGTGTTTGCACATCTTGACTCGTGGGTTTCGTGACCAATGTTCTTGCGTACATATGAGCCGATGTGTACTAACGCTACAACATCCCATGATCAAATCAATATGTGTACCTCGATAGGCAAGATCTTCTTGATAGAGCCCCCACCGAGTGCTGTGACATGTCTGGCGAGTACGACCATTGGCAACGTATAGGGTCCTTGATGATATATTAGGACGCTTGAAGGCCGAGATTTGCCGAAATTCTCGGGGAAACTTGACAAGAGGTGTCACCGGCGGCGATAAGGTGGGGTGCACACTTTGGAACTGTCGCGGCATCAGGTGCAGACGTTGTCAACAACGCCGGGGAAGGGCCCCCTCTGGCCCACTGTGTGCTCCAAAAAGCGTCAGGCAAAGCAGGATGATTAGGGGGTCGGGAATCGAACCCGTAAAGATCGCGAAATCAATGATCGCACAACCGTTCAGCCATGAACCCTTAAGAACTTGCTAGATGTGCCCCGATAGGTACAACTCGGGTAAGAACTGCCTTGTGACTAACAGGTATACCTATTAAGTACCGCGGTTCCCGAAGTCCCAACGGGAATTAGTTCAGCTCGCGGTGGTGTATGTTTCGCTGGCTGATTCTGCTGCAACAGGGTGATCCTCAAATCACCACAGTTTTTAGCGGCAATCGCACGCGGCGCGCGATTCACCAGACCCGGCGGTCGGCGGCAGTAGGCCCATTTGCCGCCGGTCTGTCTTTGAAGTTGAGTCGGTTGAGCATCAGCAATTTCACCGGTGGCTGGGGTTTAGGGTAGTTGCGTTCGCCACGGTGATCATGATGAAAATTCTGACTGGTGATGCACCAGACAACACCGGGTTCGCCGGGGGGGTGACCGCCATCATCACCGTTGCGAACTCAAGCACCGCCTCCCCGCGGCTCGAGTGATATGACCGATGCAAGGATCGCTGTAAGCTGGACACACGACCTCGCTCGAGTTTACAGGAGGACTTCAGGAATTGCATGTAAGAAATAAAAGTTCTGTTGCGGAACATATGCAGGCGGAGGGACTCACACTCACGAAGGCCGTCCATTCGACAATTTGACAATGCACTAGCAAAGAACCCGTGCAGTTGTATCATCAGGCAAACATGGACTGTATCCCAGATTATCGTTTGCTCAGAGTATTCCAAGGTCAGTTCAGCTTTCCACTTGCACCAGCAGGGAACTCATCTAGAGAGATGCAAGCTGAACTCACATTCCTTGAAGGTCATAAACCCTGTCGGCTTATGTTAACTGCAAGCAAAGGTTGTATGGGCCACTGCCAATGCTACAGCACACTTGAAGTCTCTACCACAATAGATGTAAAAATATTAACATATGAGTGGTGCTATGTGTACTGTAGTTATGATCAGCAGCTACCTACGTGAGAAAAAGGTCTGTACAGTGTGAAGTGGCCAAGGGACTATCAATGTAAAGTATCCCAGGCCAATCAATGTGCAACAGTGTGTGTGACACTGCCATCAGATTTGGCAACAATGATCGGATGGACATGTCACACATCGCCTACAGCTCATCTTCCCATAGTTCCCAGTTTAATAATACCAGCAATTTCCCCAGCCAGGGGAAGCCAGGGGCCTGTGCTGGGAAAAAACCCCAACTGATTTTTCAGATATAATGATTATATAAATATATATAAATATACTGCTCGGTGATTACCTGTCATTATTCACCAGTAACGGGGTCCATGGGCCTGTCATTATCTGTTGGACACGGAGAAGATCTGCTAGAGTATGTGGTCGACCGGATTAGTGTGAGTAGGCGACCTGGTTGTTTACCATAGCAATGTCGTCCACCTGCTTCCAGAGGGCGTCGTCGTCGAGAGTCTGAGCCGCAGACTGACGGCGCGTCTGCTGGTTGCCGGTGGAGCGGCCAGGGACGACCGATGCTTGTCCGAGCGTGGCCGCGGGCCTCTTGGGTGACGAGGCAGGAGCAGGAGCACGCCGGTGGAACTGGTAGTGGCGGTACGTGGCGAAGGATGCGCCTGGCTCAATCATAGCCTCCAGCGTCCAGGCCTCCTCCGTCGGGAAGAAGACCCTGCAGTTCTCCGGGTGGCGCGTGTCGTAGATGACGCACCGACGTAGGAATGATGGGCATTTCCTGTTGCGGCTGGAGTGGCTGTTGGTCTTGCATGACACACACCATAGCCTACCCTCGCGCGGGCAGTCCCTCGTACGATGCTCCTCACCGCAGATACCGCAGGTATCTTCAGTCTGGTGGCACGACCTGAGGATGTGTCCATGGTACTGGCATTTCACGCAACGCGGCGGCTCATACTTCTGGCGCCAACATTGGACCCGCATCCCACATATCTCGATTCCGTCCAGGATGGTCGAGTTGGCGGCATATGGGTTGTTGAGCGTAAGCATTACATTGGCGTGTCGTTGTCCCTCGTTCCGCAGGGCTTCGGGCTTGATGTACTGCGCGCGTTCGATACACATCGCGGGCAGTTCATTCGTCGCTTCGATCTCCCGTAGAGCTTCCGCGTTGTTCGCCGTGAAGATGGTGGGAACGATGTGTGCCACGACCTTGTATTTGCGGTCGACCGCCGTGATGTGGTAGCGGAGGTGGTGCTCGAGCGCGTCGCTCCCTTCGGCCGATCGGATCCAGTTGGCAGCACCGGGGGTCGGGAAATGAACGAGTATGTCTTTGTTGACCCGCCGTACCGTGAGCGGTAGAAGCGCGCAGCCGGCTTGTTTCTCCAGGTCGCTCTCTCGGATAGCTGTGCGGAAGCGGTCGGCGATTGCGGCGTCGGCGCACGTCGGTGGGAGTACTTCAACTCCTTCCGGTACCTCCGAAATGCATGGTGCGAAGAGGACTTGCCGCGCGCGCGTGTACTCGGCGTTGCGTGCTTTCTTGTCGCGCGGGTTCGTAGGAGGTGGAGGGGGAGGTGGCACCACATTGGAGATACTGTTGTTGATGCCGAAGAACCGCTGGTATGTGGGTATGTTGCCTGCCGTCGCGGTGCGCGCCTGTGCCAGCTCCGACGGCGATATGCCGCTGGCAATCTCCTTGATTTCGTCAAACTTCCCTTCCATCCAGCGTTTATCCTCCGCCAGCTTCTCCATGACCTGGTGCTCGTGTCGCTCCGCCGTCTCCCGCGCCTCCGTCTTGAGGTCCGCACAGTGTAACAAGACCATGTCGCCGATCGTCGTGACTACCTTCTTGACGAAGTTGACCTGGAGGTTCTTCGACTCGCGCTTTCCCATGAGGAGGAGCGCCATAGCCAGCGATTCCAATGTCATCGCGGCTTCGTCGCCCTGCATGAGTTTGCTGTCGGCCAGATACTTGCATGCCCGTTGGACTTGGCGATTCGCCATAGACGCCTTCCGATGTGGTGCGTTCGCCGCGGCCGACAGGTCCGGTGCCGGTGATCTTGTCGGCTCCGGTTCCGGGGATCCTTCTGGGCCGGTTCCGCTCGTCGGGTGAGCTGGCGCTGGGGACGCGCCTGCTCCCCCCGTGGAGGAATTAGTAGGGTTAGTAGAATTATTTTGGCTGTAAGATGCAGTGGGTTGGGTATTGGGCTGGGTACCGAGAACAGGGATGCGAGATGGTGTAGAGGCAGGAGTAGCAAAGGGAGTGGCCGATTCGTCTGGGCGTCTAGCTGGCGTCGAGTGGTGCGAGCCCGCTACCACTTTTGCCGCGTACGCCGTACCACTACGGGTATGAATTGGCGATGCCATGTCCCGTGACCTAGACTACTATTCAGTATATACCACGAACCAGTACGTACTGTCTTCTAGTAGCGTGGGAAAATCACAGATGATGGTGGTTCACGGGCTACCAAGGGCCCTTGAGAGTGTACTCGACACCCACCGACGCATCGTTGCACTCACATCCGGGTCTAGTCCCGAGCTTCCACGACGGCTTAGTCGCCTTGGCAGCTCCTTCAGAGCCCGTTTCCGCCGCTTTGGCGACTCCTACGACATTGACTGTGCTCTCGACGCGGATCTCAAGGCTATCCAACTGACACCTATCGAAGATCCTGCGCATGCCCGATGGTGTTTCCATCTCTCATTGTCATTATGGACTCGATTTAGTCGGCTTGGTGAGCTACAGGATATCGTGAAAGCTGTCGACGCAGGACATCGCGCTGCAGAACTCATGTCCCCCAACGACTCGAAACTTCCAGCTGTCCTAAGTGCTCTCGCGGTCTCTCTTCACTGTCGATATGATCGCATGGGCAACCTTTAAGACCTGGAGAGCTCTCTTGCCATCCAATCACGCTCCATCGAACTTACACCGGATGGCAATCCGGAACTGGCGCAACGCCTGAGCAACGCCGCGTGCACTTTGAGGACGCGCTTTCAGCGTTGCGGGGATAATCACGATCTTCAAAGCGCTCTAGTGGCTGCCCACCGCAGCGTATCGTTGACACCGAAAGATCATCATGAAAGGACTCAGCGAATGCACATACTAGGATCATGTCTTTACACCAGATTCACCCAAGAGAGCACTCAGATTAACTTCGATGCCGCCATTGCTTGTTATGTGGACGCCGTAGATCATCCCATGGGTCATCCTCACCGTCGCCTACGATCTGCGGAAGCTTGCATCCGAATACTGTCGGAACATCACCAGTTTAGCTCGCCCAACTCCCTCATGCGCGCACATTCACGCATTCTAGACTCTCTTCCGGAATTTGTATGGCTGGGCCACAGTGTACATCGTCGATTTGAGGAATCGGCCCGTGTGAGCGTGCTCGTGAATGCCGCTATATCCGCTGCTATCCAAGTGTTTGACCTAGCCCGAGCTGTGGAGTGGCTTGAATCTGGCAGAAGCCTCATTTGGTCACAGGTGGCCTCCCAACGTTCTTCTTTGGATGCGTTGGTTGTAGATTCTCCCGAATTGGCACACGCTGTGCGAAAGGTCCATGCAGAACTACAGCAACTGCATGCAGGCAATCGAGTCAACGTACCTCCACCCTCCCTCGACCTAGACTCACTTGCCGGTGAATCGGAGGCGGAGCAATACCGGAGAGCTGCAATCCGCTATGACAAACTTGTAAAGGAGATTCGTCAACGCGAAGGATTTGAGGACTTTTTGAGACCGAAGACGTTTGACGGCATCATTTCATCGCCCATGTTTGCTCGTCTGAAGGCGACCACGATCTTCGTGACTGTTGCTCGCTCTTCTTGTGATGCTCTCGTTCTTCTGGAGTGTGGTGACTTGAAGCTGGTGAAGCTACCAGAGCTCTCTCTCAAGCGCGTAGAGAGATTACGTGGAATATGGACTGGGGGTGTTGGCCTCTATAGAGCGCACAGAGGACGGATGGCGTCTTGGGAGGTTGCTCTTCTTCGCAGATGCTCAAGCATCCATGCGCTCGTATTGGGCCGATTATGGAAATGGATTGTGCATCCAATACTAGATGCTCTTGGACTGGTATGCGTCGTCTTCCCACGCGTTTGGAACTGGCATTGACAGTATGGCCACAGATACAAGACGCTGTGCGTGAAGATCCGCTGCCACATATCATCTGGTGCCCTACCGGTCCTCTCACTCAGCTACCTCTTCATGCCGCAGGCATCTACGACCAGGAAAGCGGTGGTCCTCGCATATACGACTTCGCGGTGTCATCGTACACTCCATCTCTTTGTGCTGCACTGCGCTGTGTCAGGGACAACGCTGAATGGCATTCAGCCCCCAGCATGTTGTTTGTAGCTCAGTCCAAGACCCTGCGCACCGATCACCCACCGCTCCCACACGTACGGGACGAGAGCGCTCGCGTCCGCGCATTGATGCCCGGGCCCAACCATACGTTTCTCGAGGACGAGCAAGCGACATTGGCGTCCACGCTCGCAGCCGTCGACAAGCACCCATGGGTGCACTTTGCCTGTCACGGCTCACAGAACGCGCAAGACCCGACGCTCAGCTCTATCGAGTTGTACGACAAGCCGCTCACTCTGACGGACTTGATGAGGACGGTGTCGGACAACGCGGAGCTCGCGTTCCTGTCGGCCTGCGAGACCGCCGTGGGAGACCAGAAGATCCCGGAGGAGTCTGCGCATCTCGCGGCGGGGATGTTGGCGGTTGGGTTCAAGGGCGTTGTCGCGACGATGTGGTCGATACGAGATGAGGATGGGCCCGTCATCGTGGATGCGTATTATAAGGAGCTTCTCCGGCTCCGCGCCTCGGGGACAGTCCGGGAAGGACACACTGGCGCCCCCTATGCGCTGCATCATGCGGTAGGGTGCTTGAGGGAGGCGGTAGGCGAGACCAACTTCGAGAGATGGGTTCCATTCGTGCACTTCGGAGTATGAGCAAGAGCAGGCTGATGTCCGTTTTTATTTTGATCCGATCACGGCGGTCCGGAGCCGAAAGCCTACTTACTTCGATTGCGAGCCTCGTGTTCTTATGACTGATTGTATGTAACAGTAAATTAGACGTTGATGAATAGAACAAGTGAATTGCATGTACGGAAACGAGATATGCTATGCTATGATGATACGAAACCCGAATGCCAAGTATGTGAA